GACTATCACTCACCCACACCAGATGGAAAACTCTACAGACTGTCGGTTCACACCCCATCACAAGCCAGCAAAACATCCACGAAACAATATACACACATAGCCTTAGCCTTCGGACATAACATAGAACTATATATCGCAGGACCTCGGCAAAAAAAAAAAAAAAAAAAAAAAGGGATCTCGGCATCTTTGACTGTGCCCAGTGAGTGCTCTGAAATTAGAAAAGGAGTCGATTCGGGAAAGGGATGTGCGATTCCCACTGTTTTTTTTTTTTTTTTTTTTTTTGCGATTGGCACAGTACGTCTTAACTAAACCAAAATTTTCTCGTATCTGATTTTGACAGATCACCCAATTTTTTTGTCAGAGGTGCAGATTCGCAACTGTTAGACGCCCATCAGCCAGAGCCATATCTCAACAGCGCGAATTTTTCGAAGACCCATATGATTGATTACCCACTTGCCACAGCAAGCGTACGGGCATAGCAAAGGAGAGGTGGGGGGTTCGACTCCGTCAACCTGCATCCTCTCCTGCGCACACAGTTGGTGTTAGTTTGACACCCCACCTCCCGAGCTACGACAGTAGACATGAGCTGATACATGGGGTCTTTAGGGGTTTGATAGGGGGAGGACAATATCCCGTGTGTGGAGGCAGCTCTGGAGGGGAATGCCTTAAAGTTTAGGGAGAGAGCCAAGGGGAGGGAGCATCACTCTGACGGCATACTCACACGATTACCAAAAGAGACCCTAAATCCCAAAATTTGAGTCAGTTTTCGGGTCACACTGGAGAGGCCCGCTACCCAAATGCATCAAACGGTGACCCTTTTGTCAGCGCCTGAGGGGGCGCGGGAGGACCCTTTTTGAGACCACCTCCAGACGTGGTCTCAAATTACCTTGCGTTTTTATTTTTTAATGTTCGCGAATTGAAGAAAATCGTAGACGAAGAAGACAGGCCGCCAAACAACTGGAAGTGCGACCAGAAACATTTACGTTGTAGCAAAGGCCCACATGTTATACTGGCGTGAAAAAATAAAAATAAAAAAAATCCATCTTTTTGTTTGGTCCTCGCCCGTGTGACCGGGGCCACCCGCCCTGAGTGCAAAGTGTCAGGGTCGCGACTTCCTCCTTCGTCCTTTCTGGACGAAGTCCGCCCGTGTGACCACACGGGGACCAAATGCCTCAAAAAACCCGAACCAAATGCCTCAAATTTGTGAGACTTTTGGTCCCCCTGGTGTGAGTATGCCCTGAGAAGGTGTCATCATGAAGCTCATTGCTTAATCATTGCCTCCAGGCGCGGAATTCAATGGTGCGAAATTTGCAAATCAATTATAAATCAATCGCTCCCTCTCCAGGCATCGAACCTGCA